CCCTTGGCAGGCACCCCGGGGCTGGACGGCCCACCGTCCCTCAGTCCCCGGCTGGCGCCACCGGGGCAAGCCGTCTACTCGGCAGGTCCTGGCCGAGCTGAGCCGGGTCCCCGGCGCCCCTCCCCCCGGCAGGGCCCTGGAGACCAGGGTGGGTCCAGTGGACGAGTTCCGGGGACCCCCACGGCTGTCACCCTGCCGGCCCCTGCTCCGTCCACACTGACGCCTGGGGGAAGGCGGGTGCAGGCCTCGGCCCCTGTGCCTGTGCTTCCTGCCGAGGCCCCGCTGGAGTAGGCCCAGGCCTGCAGGCGGTACCTGAGGACAGGAGGCTTGGGAGCAGCAGGGCAGGGGGCCCAGGAGGGGGCTCAGGGGCTCTGAGCCCCACGGCCCCGCGGGCGCAGCGGCTGGGCCGCCAGCCCTCCCTGTGCCCTCATCCCTCCGGGCGCCTCTCCGGTCCGCGTGAGGTGTTGGTGCCTGCGTGGGCCCCTCCGCGACCCTCCAGCCCTCCGTCTCTCTGGCGCCCTGAGCGTCTGCACCACACGGGCAGGGCCCCCGGCCGGCCAGCCAGGCCGGGCCGGGCGGGGTCTGCGGCTGGGCAGGCGGCTGCGGGAAGTGCGGAGAACAATCAGGGCCTCCCTGCCAGGGAGCCGCCCTGCAGGACGGGAAGTGCGGGGGAGGAGGAGGGGTGGGCCGAGTGCGGGCCTGGACTGCCCCCTGGGGCACCCTGGAGGCCTCCACCCTGGGAGCCTCCCAGGTTGCTGTGGGGGGTGGGGCAGAGCCCGCCCTGCCCAGCCCAGCCTCCCAGGCTCTAGCCCCTGCATCCGGCTGGAGGGCCCAGCAGGCCAGAGGCGAGGGCCAGGCCTCCAGGCCGGCCGGGAGGAGCCAGGAGGGCGGCCCCATCCTGCTTGCAGCCAGTGGGCAGGTGGGGACAGCTTTGTGTCCCCTGCCCAGCTGCTCTCCCCCAGGTGACGGCACAGCGCGTGGCTCTGGGTGCTGCCTGGGGTCCCAGCAGGGCGACTGGCTGTGTCCCCTGCATCCCCTGCCCCCAGGAAATCTGAGACAGCCCTTTCACAGCTGCCCCGGGCCCACTCGGACACCTCGGGGCCTTCAGGGTGATGCGGCAGCTGAGCCGGGGGTGGTGGGAAGCCACTTCCCCGCCAGGCAGAGAGAAGGGAGAGGAAACCCCGTGGGGTGTGGGGAACAGAGCCAAGCGGGAGCCTTGGCAGCCTGAGCGAACGCCTGGACCCAGCCATGCCTGACACCCGCCCGTTCGCACGCGGGCCGTTCGCTGGGCCTGTCTCTTGCCTCTCTTCCCAGAAGCTGGTTTACGCTTCTGCCACTCGCCACCCTGAGTCGTGACTGATTCTCCACGCTCCCGGTTGCATCCTTCTCTGTTAGAGAGGTTTGTGTCCCCAACAGAGATGTCTCCCTCTGTGAATGGTGACGTGGACGCCACAGGGCAGCCCAGGGCCTGCAGGGAGAGCACAGGCAGCTGCCTCCTCCAGGAGCCGCCGCATCGCCCGGGAGGCAGCTCAGGGCTTTGCTGAGTGGACGGTCCAGCTGGGCGCTGCCCGCCTGGGATGGTGGCCTCCAGGAGGGGCAGGAAGGGCACCGGGGCCTTCCCTCGGGTGTCTGCTCCAAGGCTGGGGCGGGGAGACACGCCCCCTGAAATGCAGCTGCTCCGTGCTTACCCACCTCCATCTCTCGGTACTTTCTGGTCCCCCCTGGTGGGTCATGAGCAAAGTGGGTGACCAGGCAGGTGAGGCGCTCGGAGGTCAGGTCAGCGGAAGCACGTTGGGGGTTCGGAGGACAAGGAAGCAGCCACACTCTGGGGCAGGGAGGGGCTGCTTCCACCGCATGGGGCAGGGGGGAATTCAGGGGCCCTTTGGGGTGTGCTGGGAGCCAGGGGCAATGACCCGCACCCTCCCCACGGTGACCTGGTTGCCACAGCACCAGCCTCTCCGCCCCTGATGCCTGTGGCCTCACTGGCCATGCCCACCTTCTCCAGCCTTGACTCTTCCTGGGGCTCTGAGGGGTCAGCCCATCCCCCCTCAGCACCCACACAGCTCTGCGGGCCCCCTCCCGCCCACCGTACCAGGGACTTTGCTTGAACCTCGCTGTCCCGCTGGCCGGCCCACCTACAGCTGCCCACCTGCTGCCCCTGCGCCTCCCCCGCAGACCCTCCAGCGTCCAGGCGCTGCACACCCACGGCGCTCGGCCCAGAGAAGGGATCTGGAGCAGCCCCCTCCTCTCCGACCCTGTTCGCCACCAGCCCTCCCTCGGGAAGCCCGCGGGAACTGACTGAGCGCCTCCCGGATTACCTACATTCGCTCCCTCTGCCTGCCTTCCCTGTCTTCTCCTCCTCCTCCTCTGGGGCGGGAGGCAGGGCCAGGCTGCTGTCTCACTTACCGGACGGACGCGGAGGCCGGCTGCTCACGTGACGCAGAAGCAGCCCGGCTCGGCAGGACCGGACAGACCCTGCGGGAGCACCCCTGGGGCCCTGAGACCCTTCAAAGCCAGGCTTGGCGTGCGGCCCAGGTGGGCCCCAGTCCTGTTCATGCGCACAGATTGTCTGAGTGATTCACATTTAACAGGACCGAGCTCTCCGTCAGACCAGCTCCCGCTAAAGAACAGATGGGGTGGGGGGGGGTATCTAAATTATGCATTTGCGCCCCCCCAGGATTTCAGTGAAGGCCTGGCACTCGGCTGAGCCCTTGGCTGCCTCCTCCCCTTGTGGGCGCTGCTCGCCCTGGAGCTGCCTGGCCGGCCTGGGTCTGGCTGGCCGGGTGCAGCTGTGGACTGGGGACCACAGGTTGACCTCTAAGCCGCATGTCTCCAGAGTAGGGGCGTGTGGCTGGGAAATCAGACGCCTGGGTTCCTGGCTGACTGGGCAAGAGGTCCCCCGATCCACCACTGGCTGATTGAGGCCCCAGGGAGGCGGGGCCCTGGGCAGCAGCTGGGGGCCAAAAGCTGCAGGGGGTCTGGGCAGGAGGGGGTTGGGGTTGGGGAGAGCAGGCTCCGCACAATGTCTTTCACATCCTTGAGGTCCGAAGGGCCCCGCCTGGAGGCTCCTGAGGGTTCCTGAGAGCCGGCCAAGGCCCAGGGCATGTGTCCCCAAGGCCAGATAGCCCTGCTGCCTGGGACCCTTCAGAGCACGTCAGGGAAGGATGGAGCCCCGGGCTGCACAGGGGATCTGGGCCTGAGGACCTGGGTCCCTGCTCCTGCCCTCCTGCCTTCCCCTCAACTTTGCCCCTCACACCCTGTCCATAAACACATAAAGGAGGGTTTCAGGTCGGGCCGCGGGGCAAGTTCCAGCGAAGGCCCGGCCACACCCTGTAGACTGACAGATTAGCTGGGGTGCCAAGGGCTGCCCCCGAAGTCCTGGGGCAACTGGCGTGGGCAGTAGTAGTCCAGCGGCCCTGCCCTGCAGCCCGGGGGTCCCTGGAGATGAGTCTGACCGGGATCACGGTGGGAGCAGGGGAGCCCTGAGGCCGCAGCCTGGTGCTGGCCAAGGACCTGGGCGGGCAGAGGGTTCTGAGGCGTCCCCCACGCCTCCTGACACCCCCACAGCAGCACAGAGGTGTCCACAGAGACCGCTCCCCCCCCTGCTCTGCTGCCCAGTGGGCCCCCTCCTCCTCCTTTCCCGTCCCTTTCTCCGGAGGAGCCAGGGCAGAAAAGAACCGTGCACGGAGGAGGACGGGGGACCTGCAGTTTGCGGAGGGGCCGTGGGCGCTGCCGGTGGTTTTAAGCAGAGGAGCTAAGCAATCGGTTCAGTCCTGGCTAAGCTGGGGAAGGTGAATCTCCCTGGTGGCGTGGGGGCCCTGATGGCTCAGCGGAGGTCACAGTCACTGGGGGGTGAGGGGTGGGGTGTCTGGGACTAGGGGAGGCTGGTCACCTGCGCGGGACGGTGTGTGTGCACCTACCGGGCTGCACTGACTGCAAGGACGGGTAATGACACCGGGGTAGCAGTAAGCGCGCCCGGAGGCCAGAGCCGGGCTCCTACGGAACCAGGGTTCTTGGAAGAAAAGGCTGAGTTCAGGGTTGGGGGCGGGAGCGCCTGCAGTGAGCCCAGTGCACACGCTGTGCCAGGCGTTGAAGAAGGGCTGCAAGGATGATGGGGACGGGCTGCTGCGTGGAAAGGAAGGGCCGCTGACATGGGCAACAGTCCTGACTGCGGGGGACAGGGTCCCTTGAGGTTGTGGCCTATGTAAGGGGTCAGCTGGGTCGCTGGCATGTCCTCCAGTTCCCCTGCCCCCAGCGCCAGGAGGGGAGGGAAGGGCAGGGGGCCCAGTCGGTGGGAGGTGCTGGTGGGGGGCGGCCTCGGAACCGGGAGGCGGAGGTGCGCTGGGCTGGCGAGGCGAGCGGTGGCCCCATCTGACCCACCCGCCTTCTCGCCTTTCCCGTCGGGGTTTTCCATCCCAGCGGCCCCGCTGACGTCTCAGCAGCACCTGCCGGGTGGGCCACCTCTCCTCCCGACAAGCTTTCCCGCGGTCTCACCGCTCCGCCCAGGCGGCCACCCCACAAGGGCCACGCAAGGCGGCGCTGCCCGAACCCCACGAGTCTCGCGGGCTCTTCGGAGCGCCGGCCCTGTCCACGGCGGCGGGGCGTCCGGGCCTCGTCTCGACCGGGCCCCGCTGGGCCGCCGCCGTACACGGAGGAACCGGCAAGCTCTCTGGAACCCACAGGCCTGAGGGTCAGACGGGCTGCGCGTGGGCGGGGTGCGGGGCAAGGCAAGACTCGGCTCCCACCCTGCGGCCTCCGCCCGCGTCTGCCTGGCCGGTCACCGAGCCGGTCAGCAGCGAGAGACCCGGGCCAGCGCCTGGGGCGCGGAACGCGGCAGGCCTCGGTGGCCCCGGAGCCGGTCCCCCAAGGCGCGGCGCGGCGCGGCGCGGCGCCTTTAATTGGCTCTCAGGCGCGGAACCGGGACAGGGAGGAAGCGCGCGTGCGCGCGCGCGCCGGGCCGGGGCCGAGGCGTGCGTGCGCGCGGCGTGCGCGGTGACGCGGCCGTGGGGTTTCCCGAGGCTGCGGACAGGGGCCGCCGCGCCCATCGATGGCTGGAGGCGTCTGAGGGCGAACGGAGGCGGCGGCGGCGGGCGCGGGCGCAGAGTGGAGCAGCCGCCGCGGGACCGGACCGAGCCTCGCCGCGCACCTGCCGCAGCGCCCGCGGAACGGCCCGAGCGCGACCACCTCCCGGAGCAGCGGCGAGGCGGCCGAGGCTACGGGGTGCGGGCGCGGCAGGCGGGACGAGCGCCGAGGTGAGCGCGGTGGCACCGACCCCTCCCGGCCTCACGGCTCCGGCTCTGCTGCCCCTACCCGGCGACCCCCGACCCCCGTCGCGTCCCCGCTCAGCTGCCCGCCGGGGCCGCCCCGCCCCCACCCGCTACGGGGCCGCGTCTTCCTGCCCCGCCCGGGTGGGGTCTGCGGGGTGGGGGCGGGCGCGGTGGGGGCGGGCGGGGACCCTGCGGGCGTGGGCCGGGGCCGGGGTCGGGGCGAAGATCCGCGGCTCGGTGTCTCAGGTCCGGGGCTGGGGGCTGGGGTCTGGGTCTGGGGAACTGGGGCTGCCGCTTGAGTTCCGGGGTTCTGGGTCCTGGTTTCTAGGTCGGGGTCCGCGGTCAGGGCCCTGGGTTGGGGTCCGGGGTTCCTATCCGGGTCCGGGGGGTCGGGGTTCGGGTTCTGGCTCGGGTTCCAGGGTCCTGAGCTCAGGGTCGGTGTGCGAGGCCCTGGGTCCAGCCCGGCCTTCCCGGGGCTGTGCGCTGGGCCGGGGTCTGCGGCCCGGCCCCTCCCGCGCGCCGGGCCGCCGGGCGGGAGAACAAAGGCGGCGCCGCTGCTGCAGTGGGTGTGGGTGCTCGTCCTTTGCTCGGAAGGACGTCGTGGTTTAGGTGCCCCTTTTCTGGCGACTCTGAAGTTCGGGCTTGGGGACGACACGATGGAGGGGGGGAGGACGATGAAATGAGGAAGCGGGGCCCGGCCGGCGCGGCCGCCGGGGACATTCGGGGGGAGCGAAGGCAGAAGCGAAGCGCTGTGCTGGAAAGCCCAGAACAATAGCGACTCTCCGCTGTCTTCGTTTTTACTGGGAAGTGAGCGGCGGCCCCACGGCGAGCCTTTTCTCGTTTTCTCCCTCGCGCGGCTCGGGGCTTGCGTGCGGGGCAGGTGGGCGGGAGGGGGACCCGAGGTGGGCGGGAGGGGGGGCCAGGACGCCCCAGGGGTCAGGGCCTGGCCGGGGTCCCCGAGCCCCGATGAATGGCCGGGAGCCCAGGCCCCGCGACAAGATGGCGCGGCCGCCGCCGCCTTTGTCAGCGTCGCGCGCTCCCGGACCCCGCGGCCGCCGCGCCGGGCCTGGGGTTCGCGAGGCGTGACTCTGAGGGACCTGGGCGGGGGACCACGTGCGGGCGAGGCGTCCTCGGGCGGCCCCAGCGGGCTCCTCGGGGGCCGCGGTCGCGGTGGGGGAGGGGCCGTGCTGGCAATTCCGCCGGGTGGAGGCCCAGCCTTCGGCCCTGAAAGGCCCTGAAAATCCTCCTCGGCTTCTGCTCGCGAATTGATGGCTGGTTCAATGGGTGTTCGCAGCTTAAGTCCTTTCAGCCACACGGGTAGCGCGCGAAAGTCGTGGCCTTGTCTGCTCGGGGCCTCTTCGTTGAAGCTCTTTCCGACCGCGAGGATGGGGATCGGTGCCCCCGGGGGCCGCGGCGGCCGGCGCGTCGCTTGGTGCGGACGGGAGCTGGGCGCCTACGAGCCGGGGCCTGCGCTTCTGGCGCGGGCAGTGTGGTGGTTTTCTGTGTCTTTCATTTTGCCGCCCATCTGATAACTGGTCTCAAGTATTTGGTCACTGAGAGTCCCGTAGGAGATTTATTACTAGCTAAGAAAATATGTAGGTTGTTTTCACGATTAGCAAATACATGGAAGCGTGAGCTTTGTGAGGGATTCTTTCTAGATCCTGGGTAAGGTCCTCAGAGCGTCATCACCGCAGAGGTTTCTGCATAACTTCTTTGTTCCCTAATTTGAAGCTGTAGTCTTTTTTGGGGGGGGAGGGGGTGGAAGGGTTTTTTAATATGAAATTCAGGTTTGCGTTTGAGTTGTAGTAAGATGGGGTTTGATCTGGATTATTCCGGAAGGTACATATTGCAAAAAGAAAGCAAACAGGCAGTTCCTTTTTTGCTTCCTTGCTCGGACTGGGTTTGTGGCTGGGGAGCGAGCTGGTGCCACCAGCAAGGAGGTGGGTGCGACACCCCGCTCGGCGGGGCTGGGGGCCCTCGGCTGCCTTCGTCTCCCGAACGAGGGGCACCCAGAAGTGGGTGGAGCTGGGGGGCAACCCCGCCAGGCCCCATGGGGGGAGGGCAGCTTCTGGAGGCTGGAGGCCAGGCCTCTCCTTCCCGAGACTCCCCTTGTGGCGGGGCTGGCCCGGCAGCGCTGCCTGCCTGGCCCGGCGCTTTTGGGGCGGGCGCACCCCCTGGGCGGGAGCTTGACTCCCACAGGGCAGGGCGGGCAGGGCGGGCAGGGCGGGCAGGGCGGGCAGGGCGGGCAGGGCGGGCAGGGCACCTGGCCCAGCGCCCCTCCGCCCCTCCGCTGCGTGCGGAAGGGTTTCTCTCTGGTGCCTTGAACTGCCTCTGGTTTTCAGGGGAGCTGGAACCAAGTTTCCTCAGATTTAATCAACCCCAGGAGAGATTTCAAAAGGCTGGGCTGCCATGGGCTGTGGAGTGGGGTGTTGTCTTCTTTTAAAAAGCAAATCTCTTTTCAACAAAATCTTTTTCACATCTAGTCACTTCGGTTTGTTTGTTATTCACTGGTTTGATGGAAAGGTTTTGTTCCTTAAAATATCTTCTGAGAAAGGTCTTCAGGGCGTCTGTAGACTTACCTATTCTAATGAAGAGCATTGATTTTATTTCAGACACGTGGTATTGGCATTTATTAGTTTTTTCATTGGTTTTTTTTTTTTTTTCCTCTGCCCAAAAGATTTGGCTCATGCTGGTCTCTAGATTGGATTAAGCTGTTACTGTGCACAGACCTCGGCTTTTAGCATTAGGGGATTGGTAATAGATAGTCTCAATTTCATTATCTGGGCCTGGCCATATGGCAGGCCCTGTTATTTTGAAACCCCTGTTCAGCGTGAGTCTAGGAAGGCACTGAACGAGAGGCGCCAGGGTTTTGAACCCGGTCTGCATTCTGTCTCAGGCTCGCGCTCGGTGCTCGGAGAGCAGTTAGCGAAGCTCAGAAGCGGACGGATCGGTCAGGTGTGTGGTTGAGCGAATGTACAACGAGGGGATAAAAACAAATTCGGGTTGACACGGAGGTCAGAGAGATACGGTGCAAACCTGCCGGTGGAGCAGGGCCTGAGGGAAGCCGCGGCCAGGCGTCTGCGGGGGGCGTGAGCGTCGAGCGTCGGGGCGTCACCCTGGCTGTCCCGGGGAGGACTGGAGCACCACTTGTTTCTTCCCTTTTTCGGGTTGAGTGTATTGGGTGACATTGGTAATAAAATCGCCCAGGTTCCAGGGGTCCAGCTCTGTCACACGTCATTCACCTGCGGCTCGGAGTGCGTGTACCCCGCCAGGACCAGTCCTCTGCAGCCGTGCGCAGCCCCGGGAATGCGGAGCTGGGCAGCCTGCCCGCCCTGGGGGCAGCACTGGCGCCAGGGCCTCCGGACTGGGGACCGTTGCCCCCGCTGCCCCCGCCGCCCAGGGCAGCGCGCTTTGTGTTTCCTAAAGACTTAAGTGAGCATTTCCTCATCTGACTTAGCAAATTACAATTCTGGCCAAACGCCATTTCTTTCTTTCTTTTGTTACAGATTTTATTTATTTTTAGAGAGGGGAAAGGAGAAAGAGAGGGAGAGAAACGTCCATGTGTGGTTGCCTCTTGCACACCCCCAGCCAGGGACCTGGCCCACAGCCCACACATGTGCCCTGACTGGGAATCGAACCGGCAGCTGTTTGGTTCACAGGCTGGCGCTCAATCCACTGAGCCCCACCAGCCAGGATGCAAAAAGTCATTTCTAAAAACGTAACAGTTTGAAAGATCGGGTTGAGATCATCTGAGGTAATGCTTAAGAGAACATCCAGGTGAACCTGTGTTGCCTTTGATAAACGCTGCTACGGCTTGGTGATTAGCGGCTGCAGGCTCACAGTGGCACTTGGGCCGGGGTACCCCGGGCGGACGTGTGTTTCTCCGTGTTCCTGGGCCTGGTCCTGGGGCGGCTGTAAAGTGCATTCCCAGCTGGAGCTGTTTGTAGAGAACGTCCCAGGGACTTGAAAGTGACTCCTGGGTTCTAGGGCGGGAGGGAGGCTCCTGTTTCTGTCAGGCCCACGGGTGCCCGCGGTGGAGGGGGGCCCTGGCTCCAGGACGTGCCTTGCAGGTTGGAGGGTGCGTGTGGCCTCTTGTTGCGCTACCTCCTCCCCTGCCCCCGCTCCTGGGGCGTCGCTGTGCCTGCGCGGCCTTGCTCTCGCTGCCACCGCGTTCGCTGACATCACAGGGGGTGACTTCCTGAGCCACTTTCCTTCTCGGAGAAGGGCGTCACTTTCACTCCAGGGCGTGGGCACGTGGAGCAGCCTGACCTCTGTCCCCTGTCTCCGCTCCCTTCGCTCCTTGAAAGGCTTCCTTTATCTCTGTAGGGTGACTTTGACCCTCAAGTTCATTTTGAAAACTGGTGAAATTATTTACTTTTTAGAGATTGCACCTCTCCCTTTATGAGGCTGTTTTTGAATTTCACAGAACTTTTTCTGGCATTTTTTTTAACCACCGCAAGTCGCATCTCCTGCCGCCCCCATTCACCCCTCTGCCTTGGCCTGCGCCCCCACCCTCCTCTTCCTCTGGTCGCCACCGGGCTCCGGTCTATTTTAGGGGTTTGGGGGGTGTTTTTTGCTTTCTCCCTCTACCTTTCCCCCAGCCCCCCGCCCTTCCCCTCTGGCAGCTGGCAGCTGGCAGCCTGCTCTCGGTGTCTCTGAGCCTGTTTCTGGTGTGTTCATCAGTTCATCTGTTCGCCGGAGCCCACATGCGCGTGCAGTCACGTGGCGATCGCCTCGCTCTCTCCAGCTGCTTTGCCGAGCGCCCCGCTCTCCAGGCCGGCCCGCGCGTGCTGGCGCACAGGTAGGGGCGCCGCCTTCTGCAGGGCCGCGTGGAGTCGCGCTGTGTGAAAGCGCCGCAACCCCTTGGTCCGCTCGTCTACGCTGATGCAGACTCGGGCCGCTTCCACCCTTGGCTCCTGGGATTCTTTGGGCAGCTCTTGCTTCGCCAGCCAGTGACAGAATGAAATGCTCTCCACCTGCTCTCA